AAAGGTGACCTGGAACCATGAGCTATAGCACCCAAACCATAACTCCAACAGTGTGATGAACATGTCTTTCAACAAAAAACTGTGGATTCCTCCTTTCACCACGTCGCCTTCTAACCCTGGCACGACCATCGTGCATGCCTAAACAAAATCGAGACTCACTAAAGACAATACTGTTCCATTCCTGATCCCAGAGTGACCGTTGTCTGCACCACTCAAGGCGATTACGTCGGTGTTCTCGAGTTAAAGGGAGGCCCAGTGTGGCCGGTATGAAAACAAGCCAAAACTTCTCATTCGTCGGTAAACACTTCGCATGCCAATAGGTCTTCCGTGTTCTGCAAACCATTCATTTGCAATGGACCTGGTAGTGGAGAAACGGTCCCTTAAGGCCAATAATCTTAGGCGGCGATCTTCACGGTCTGTTGTTCTACGGCGGCGTCCAGTGCCCCTTGCTCTTTGCGTACGGCCTTCTCGAAGCCATGCCTGACAACACCTAACCACAGTGTCTACACTTCTGTGCACTCTAACTGCAATTGCCCGAAAAGAAAGTCCAGCTTCCCGAAGTCCCACTATACGGCCCCTATCAAACTAAGTTGACGAAATCGTACAGGTCTCCGTACTCTAGGCATCGTAACGATCGTAAAGGATGTCAAGAACCAAAATCCGCCAACGTTGATTCTTTACTGCGGCTGAAATATTCATTTTTAGAGCGTTAGTGAATTAAAAAAAAAGCTGTATAAAAATCGGAATGTCCAACTGATAAGGCTGAACATTTTTTCACTTGTTATTTACAGTAAGATAAATACATTCACCAACTTTTATTAAAATAAAACCATTTGAACTGGGTGTTTGGATTTATATGTCACTTAGTATAAGCTTCAGAACATTGCGTTGAAAATGGCAGCTAGAAATTGAAAATGATCAAGCATAAATAGAAAAAAACTAGTTTCATCAACGGTCGTTTGTCGCTCAGGGCTTCTATACCTCCTTTTGAGAGGAAAAAAAATAGTTGTCGGCACTTGTCAATTTACTTCTCATTCTATTGTCCTATATTTTTGAAACATCCTGTATACGTACGTGAACTAAGTTTCTAAATAGTGAACTTACCTTCTGTGTGGATGAGGTTACAGATAAGTAATGTAGAATGTATGAATATGTACTATCTCAGAGACATAATGACCCTATATCTTTCAAAAGTAGATTGCCCATTTTATATGAATAAATTGGTTTAAAAATTCTGGACCTACCTTATGTTCGTCACAACGATAAAACATGCCTAACGCTATCGTTTCCATATGGTTAAACGATGGTTCCAATGCAAAGTAAACTTTTGAAATATACCCTAATTTGAATACCAATAGTGGACGCATTTGTAAAGAATACGTACAGTTCAGGTCTGGCTTAAGCTTGTGTTTCCACGACGTTATCGAAATAAATAATTACGAAATGTTTGTTTAACATTATCATTATTTGTTATGCTAACCTTTCCCCTACAATGGCAGCTTATCAGTTCGGTTTATTATATCCTTATCATTCCACTCTTATTATTATAATGGTTTCCTAAATTCACAGAAAGCTCGCCACTTACAATCGGATACAGCTAATACTCTTATAAAGATAACATTACAAAAGCTAAGAGCCATTTGGGAACAATCGGTTTTCGAAATGTCATTTACTCGACAATATTGGTTCAGTAGTACTTGGTCCATTTCATGTTTAACAAAAATAGTTTTATTTTGTCTATTGTTGGATGAATATTAATTTGTGCAATCATGGAGTGAAAGATAACATATTTACGTTCAAGGGCTAAAACGCTGATAAGGAGCTTCTATTTAATAATAATAATAATAATAATAATAATAATAATAATAATAATAATGAATGTCTTTATTAGCAACACAACAATAGGGCGAAGTTTAGCCAGTTGACTACTCTTACACAAAACCCTATTGTGTGCTTAAATATGTATATATACTAAGTGACATATAAATCCGAACACCCAGTTTAAATGGTTTTATTTTAATAAAAGTTGGTGAATGTATTTATCTTACTGTAAATATCAAGTGAAAAAATTTTCAGCCTTATCAGTTGGACATTCCGGTTTTTATACTGCTTTTTTTTAATTCACTAACGCTCTAAAAATGAATATTTCAGCCGCAGTAAAGAATCAACGTTGGCGGATTTTGGTTCTTGGCATCCTTTACGATCGGTTACGATGCCTAGAGTACGGAGACCTGTACGATTTCGTCAACTTAGTGAGTTTGATAGGGGCCGTATAGTGGGACTTCGGGAAGCTGGACTTTCTTTTCGGGCAATTGCAGTTAGAGTGCAAAGAAGTGTAAACACTGTGGTTAGGTGTTGTCAGGCATGGCTTCGAGAAGGCCGTACGCAAAGAGCAAGGGGCACTGGACGCCGCCGTAGAACAACAGACCGTGAAGATCGCTGCCTAAGATTATTGGCCTTAAGGGACCGTTTCTCCACTATCAGGTCCATTGCAAATGAATGGTTTGCAGAACACGGAAGACCTATTGGCATGCGAAGTGTTTACCGACGAATGAGAAGTTTTGGCTGTTTTCATACCGGCCTCACTGGGTCCTCCCTTTACTCGAGAACACCGACGTAATCGCCTTGAGTGGTGCAGGCAACGGTCACTCTGGGATCAGGAATGGACAGTATTGTCTTTAGTGACGAGTCTCGATTTTGTTTAGGCATGCACGATGGTCGTGCCAGGGTTAGAAGGCGACGTGACGAAAGGAGAAATCCACAGTTTTTGTTGAAAGACATGTTCATCACACCGTTGGAGTTATGGTTTGGGGTGCTATAGCTTATGGTTCCAGGTCACCTTTAATCTTCATCAGAGGGTAACATGAACGCGCAGCGTTATATCCACGAAGTTCTAGAACCCCATCTTTTACCCTATCTTGACACCCTGGCAGATCCAACTTTCCAACAAGATAATGCCCGACCACATGTTGCAAGAGTCACAATAGACTTCTTTCAACATAATGTCACATTGTTACCATGGCCACCAAGATCTCCCGACTTATCCCCAATTAAGCACGTGTGGGATATGATGGGTAGGAGATTGCTCAATTTGCAACGTCCTCCTCAGACTCTAGAAGCACTTCGAAAGGAGTTGGTGGTTGCCTGGAATAAGATACCACAGGAGGACATTGACCACCTGATCAGAAGCATGCCTAGGCGCGTTGGAGAATGCGTAGCACATCATGGTGCATCCACACATTATTAAAGGTCAAAGGGCTTTAAAGCAGTGCAATCATTTTGAAATTTTTGTCATTTACTTATTATGCTTCATTAAGTACTTATACAAATTTTATTAAAATAAAACCATTTAAACTGGGTGTTCGGATTTATATGTCACTTAGTATATTAACTGAACCAGTTACGTTATATCTTCTAACAATATTTCTCACCCTGTACCGCGATAAGTCTAACAAAATTGCAATTTCTGAGTTTGATTTCCCAGAATTAAAAAATTTAATTATCAGTAACCGAATTTTCTCACTAATAACCTTTCCTCTACCCATTTTGAACACCTTAACTACCCAAAACTATTTTAAACGTATTATGACAGCTGTGATTAATAAAAACAATTGTCATGGCTTTTATTATTCACAGCCACCTATGCGTTATCGACTTATTTTGCATTGAAATGAAAATAGGTTGATATGCTGTAATTGCAACATGTGTTATTTTTATGCTGCAAATTTGATTAGGGAGTGATAAAGTTGGTGTTTTCTACTATATATTATCAAAATATTCATTGTTAATATTTTAAACCTATACCTACATTTTTATTATTTGTATTTGATAAGAAAAAAACTAAGATTTCAATAGTTGGACCAACTGAAGTGGAAAGGGGCTCGTATTTCACTGGTCTCAATTCCCAGGAAACGCAAACGCACAATTTTGAATTACAAATGGTTTCTAGATGGAAAAATTGTATGACAGCACGTCAGCAGTTTTTTCGCGTTTACCCGCGGCAAAACTTGACAGCTGTTGTCACCAAAAATTACAATACCTTTGATAACAAGTAATTTTGGTCTCCTGGGACACTAGAAAACGAGGCTAAACAATCTTTCAGAAATCAACAAAAATTTTAACAGGTAAGCCTTTGCAGAATGATACATGTTTGTATGAAGAGTCCTCCATAAAACAACAAAATGAAGGCTTGAAATGTCAACGCAGCAAATTTCACATTTCAGTTTATTTGTTATTAGTAAGTCAGTAACCGCTACCTTGGATTTGATTAAATCTGGATGTTACCAAATTCTCGAGTAGTGGTCAAGTCACTAGTAAAAACAAAATATCAGGATTTATCAGAAACATCAGTTTAGTATGTCATTTACACAACATTGGTTCAGTAAGTACTTCGTCTATTTTCATGTTAAACAACAAATAAATACGTTTGTTTTGTATAGCATACAATACCTATTTTTAACTTTAATAAATATTTATGCGGTACCAGAAAGTTTTGTTTCCTAAGCCAGTACTTACGTTTTGTCACAGTTTATAGAAATGGCACATTTTATATGATACATGGTAGTACATTGATAGATGCTTGAATGAAATTCGCCGCTTTGTGGCTATTCAAAGGCTCAAATGCATAAAAGTAGTTTGAAAGCTATTAATAGGAGATCAAAATATCATGGTACTCTTGATGTTACCCCAAAACACATGCACACACACTGCTTATAGACATCATGTAATTCTGCAATATAATGATTGTTTTATGTTTATATGCAAGTTGTGGACTCGAGGTATAAATGATTAAAAATTTGATAGCAATTCGTAAAAATACTAGTTTTCATAAAATATAAACACCACCAGTCTTTTTTTCTTTGTTCTTGCACGTACAATGGGAATAATTATTGAAATCACTTTTAACTATTTGGCAAACATTATTACGCCTTACATCTTATGTATTACAATTGGTATTCCTCAATATTTTATTCAAACATAATAGCAAAGAGAGCAAAAACGTCCGATGAGCTGGCAACACCTCAGTCCAGGTGACAAGGATAAGGTCAGCTGCCAAAACTTATCTCTAGCCTTCGGTACCGGGGGAGCCATTTTGAACGACAGTGCGACAATTTTCCTATTTTCATTTGCATTTTTTTAACAGTTGTGCAACGATTTCTGAAAAAATTTCGCTACGGATAGTCTTATAGAGCCTAGTAGAGTATACGAGGGTGGTGCCAGAAGTACCCGACCCAACGAAGAAAACACAAAATTTTTGTAAAAAAATGTATTTATTTTTCAACATAATCTCCTTTGAGCTCTATACACTTTTCCCAGCGATGTTCAATAAGTTCGATACCCTTTTTATAATAAGAACTGCCTTGCTCCTCAAAATAGCCATTAACTGCCGACATCAGTTCTTCATCGTTGGAAAATCATTGACCACTGAGCCATTTTTTAAAGTTTGGAAACAGAAAATAATCCGAGGTCGCTAAATCTGGTGAATAGGGTGCATGAGGTAGCAATTCAAACTTTAATTCGTTAATTTTGGCAATTGCAATAACGGATTTGTGACCAGGTGCATTGTATGGATGAAACAACACTTCCTTCTTAACCAAATGCGGCCGTTTTTGCTTGATTTCATCGCTCAAACGTTGCAATAAGTTCGCATAATACTCGCCGTTGATAGTTTTACCTTTTTCAAGAAAGTCAATGAAAATTATCCCACGCGCATCCCAAAAAACCGACGCCATAACCTTACTTGCAGATGAAACGGTCTTCGCCTTCTTTGGAGCCGGTTGTCCCTTTTGAGTCCATTGTTTTGATTGTTCTTTTGTCTCGGGTGTAAAGTGATGGACCCATGTTTCATCCATGGTTATGAAACAACGCAAAAATTCTTCTTTGTTGCTGTGCAACTTCGCTAAACACTCAATTGAAATATCTTCACGACACTGTTTTTGCTCGATTGTGAGCAGTCGCGGCACCCATCTTGCACACAGCTTTCTCATGTCCAAATTTTCAGATAATATGCGATGAACCGCACTTTTTGTAAAGCCTACTGTCTGCTAGCTCGCGCACTTTCAGTCGACGATCATTCAGTACCGCTTTGTGAATTTTCTTCAACATTTCTGGAGTCGTCACCTCATTTGGTCGACCACTGCGATGCTCGTCTTGGCAGCTCATACGGCCTCATTTAAACTCTGCTACCCAATATTTTACTGGAGGAGCAGACTCACCCAGAGTAGAATCCAGTTCAGCTTTTATATTGGTTGGACTGATGCCTTTGAAATAAGAGTATTTAATTTTCACCATTTACACAAATTCACTGAAAACGTTCAGTATTGATGATTGCCCAACAAATACTAAATAACGTGGCGTCTTCAAACTTGACACATATGCTTTATAAATTGCATACTTTCTAATACAATGATATTTTTCAAACAACTATCGCCATCTCTAGGTCAGACCGGGTACTTTTGGGACCACCCTCGTATTTCAACAGTTGTAACAACTTTTTTACGTTTCATAATATTTCTGTCTGTAGCATATTTTCTCACCTGTTGTAATATACTTCACCAACCAGGAATTTTTTTCTTATCTCCCTCATTCTTGACATTCAGCAAATTTGCATATGCAAAAAATAGGGATGCTCAACTAATTTCTAACTTTGAACACATCTAAAGTAAGTGTATCTGAGACAAGAAACCAGTGGAATTATCATCAACTCAGATACAAAACGAGTTCGCAACAAATGTTCGACATCTACTCGTAATGCTAAATAGACATATTGTAGAAAAACCTATGTTATGTCAGAAAAAACCTACAAAATGTCAGAAAAAACTGACAAAATGTCACTATTCAACATACTTAATACCCGTGCGGGTTTCCGTCGTATTCGTTTTTTATTTCCACTAGACCCATTTGCTCGATAGTACTGCTCAGTAAGTACTGGGTCTATTTTCTGCCACTCCTTAATGCGTATGCGTAACACAATAACTAATTTTTTTCTATCGATTATATCCATTCATTTTTCGATTTGCAATAGAATAAGGCATGAAGTGTAAGAAAATTTGATATCTTTAAAAATGAACAGGATATAGCAACTGGAGAAGCAACAAGAAATTTAGGCGTACTTTTCGATGAGAACCTGAAACTTATCTACACAAAAGTTGCTAGGCAAAAGAATATTGTGCGAGTCTTTGATGAGATCCAAGCTCGCATACTGCCTTTCAGTATACTTTCCTTTCCTTTCTTGGACTGTGAAACCGTAAGAAAACTCCAAGGAATCCAAAACACTTGCTGCAGACTGACTCAGTATCTCCAAAGGTTCGAGCATTTCAGTGCTGCTTTCTTATAATTAGGATGGCTAATATCAGACAATTATATGCTTCCAACATGCTCATATATACTCACAAACTTTTAGATACATCTGTGTTCCTATTTTTGCGAGAGAAACTGATTGTGCAGATATATACATTCCCGAAATATAACAATGCCCCACCACAGGATTGCTTTCTTTCGGAATAGTTTTACATACAATGGCGTTAAGTTGTAAACTCTCTACCAGATACCTAAACTCTGGGCGCTGAAGAAAGACATTAAACGTAAACAGTGATCAGCACGTGAACAGATCCCTCGAAAGCATCCACGGATATACTCCAGTCACTTTAGGTCTAAACATCCTCGGCAGTGTATTTCTAGTGAATCCACAGACCCTTTTTCGTGTCATCTTGAGACTAGAAAAAGGATGACTGTTAAAATAAGTTACCTTGATCTTTCATGAGCTCCCAGTACAAAACATCATCGATATATTTTTGATGTAGGAACAACAAATTGGTTTAGAAAACATCCACTTTGAACCTAAATTGACTGGAGTAACATCGATCTACAGACAAATTCAAGGTCACTAGCAGTCGTCGGCGCTCTACGAATCTGCACAGGTTTGGACTTGTAAACGTGATTGTAGATGACACGACAGGCATCTAACAGTTAATTCACGCACAGGATTGCATTGCATACGCATTACGCATTCAGTAGCGTATACTCGTTTTTCGCGTTTTGTTTATATATTGCCTAAGATACGATGTCTGACACAGATACAGCCGACGAAGTGGTTGACATCAGCGCAACCCCACCCAAAAAAAGGGCTAAGAAGCTACATTTAAGTGCAAATGAAAAACAAATAATATTAAATATATACAAAAACCAAATTCAAGAAAAACCCGATTTGGTCGTGGACGAAGTTGTATGTAAGGTAGCACATATTTCTGGAGTATGTCGGTCCAGTGTTTATAGGATCATTAAGGAATATAGGAGCACTCACTCACTTTCTGAGCCAAAACCGTATCCTGCAAGAAAAAGGATAACGGACGGAGTAGATGACTTTGACAGAACTGCCATCAGGAGGAAAGTGCATAATTTTTTCTTCCGAAATGAGATATCTACAGTAGATAAGATATTAAGATTAGTTAATGCTGATGAGGATCTTCCATCATTTAAAAGAACCACATTCCGAAAACTTTTGAAGGAACTTAATTTTCGATTCTTGAAACGGGGAAGAAACAGTATGTTAATAGAGAAAGAAGAAATTGTTGTGTGGAGAAGGGAATACCTTAGGAAGATTCGGAAGTTTCGCGATGAAAAAAGAAAAATTTACTATTTGGACGAAACGTGGGTGAATGCTGGACATACTCAAGCGAAAGTTTGGGTCGACAAATCAGTAACATCATCAAGGCAGGCTTTTCTAGACGGTCTTTCGGCTGGATTGAAAAATCCTGCAGGTAAGCTCCTTCATCTATCCGGCAATTTAATTTTGATAAATTCAGGCAAATAATATGCTGTGATAGCAGATAATGTGTGATATTCTCCAAAAATGGTGCATTCGCAGTGTAGTCATTAGGAAAAAAACTTCGACCCTCTTTTAAGCGTTATTTTGAAATTTATTATCATTTTTGGGTGCAGTCAATTTGCTTTGAATGGGTTTTGAGAAGTTGCAAACTTCAATTTTCTACGTTTTTCAGTTTTTGATCAGCATTCCGTGACTCTTAAATTCAGCTAAATGAACTCAATTGCCTCATTCCTTCAAATTTAATCAATCCATAGTGTAAGGAATAATTTATTTCCAGGAAAAGGCAAACGGCTGATCATTTGTCACGTAGGTAGTGAAGACGGCTTTGTTCCCGAAGCACTGTGGGCCTTTGAATAAAAAAAGACAGGGGACTATCATGAGGAGATGGACGGCAATTCCTTTGAAAATTGGTTCTCCAAAATGTTACTAAAGCTGGAGAATAACGCTGTTATTGTACTGGATAATGCCCCGTACCATTCTAGAAAAATAGAAAAAATTCCCACAATGGCAACTAAAAAAGCAAACATACAACAATGGCTGGCCTCAAAACAGATCGATTTTGATGAAACAATGGTCAAGGGTGAATTGATAAGTATAGTCAATAGACATAAATACAAATACGATTTTAAAATGATCGACGAAATGGCCAAAAAACAAAATAAAACTGTCTTGAGACTGCCACCCTACCATTGTGAGCTGAACCCTATTGAGCTGATTTGGGCCAACATAAAGCAATACGTGGCGTCGAATAATAATACTTATAAATTTTCTGATGTTAAAAATCTCTTTCACATCGCAGTCAATAGAGTTACGGCAGAGGAATGGAAAAACTGTATCCGCCACGTTCGGGAGAAGGTTGAGGTCAAAATGTGGGATTTGGACAATGTCATCGATACCCAAATTGAACCTCTAATAATTCATTTTAACGATTCAGAAGATTCAAGTTCCTCTTCTGAATGAGTGCGCGCAGCTTACTTACTAATAACTAAAAAGTGTAGTTAACTCATTTGTGAATCTCTAAGTGAAATTTACTGTAAAAGATAATAATTATCTTGTATGAAATTTTTGATGACTACCCATAATATCTTGATGCGGTCCTGTAATGTCTCCTGCGCCTAAACACTCACTCACGAGCAATATGCGTGTATTTGTTTGGGTTTAGTTTCTTTCTTCAGCGCCAAGAGTATATAAATCAGTTGATAAATTTAAACCATAAGTTAAGATGTATAGTGTGTATTGAGCCGTAGAAACGCTGGCGTAAATTAGTATTCTTTTGTGGCACACTCTCATTGTTTGCTTCTACAGTACCGAGCAAAAGTAGAGAAACAAACCACATTACAAATAAAAATCCAGAAAGATTTACTCTCACCCAAAACTGTACACTAAAGTTTTTTATGTATGACTACCTGAAGATAATGAAATGCTTATCCTTGTATACATTCTTTTTTTTTTCAACATAATATGGTCGGTTTTTTGTTCAACGAGCAAAAGTAGGGAAACGTTTTGTAAATATTTAGTTTATATTTAGTCGTTGATTAGAATACGTGTTATTTTTGAGTGTATTTAGTAAAGTGTACTTCATAAACATGGCCAGAGGAATTACATTGAATTTGCAAATAAAAGAATTGATTATTTTAAAATATCGATCAGGCATTAAACAAGCAACCATAGCCAAACAGCTGAATTTAAGCCGATCGGTAATTTGCTATTAAGCTGTTCCACCTCAGAAAATCGTTGGTAAGGCCTCCTAAGACTGGTAGACCACGAAAAACCACACCTAGGATTGATAGGAAAATTAAAACATTTGCTCTTAAAAATCCATTTACTACTGCTGTCGACATTAAAGCTCAACTTGAAGAAGTAAATATTGGTGTCCACACTGTTCGAAGACGTTTAAGGGAGAGTGATTTACCAGCAAGGAGACCATCTAAAAAACCCTTTATTTCCAAGAAAAATCGGACCGCCCGTCTTCAATTTGCTTACGATCATTTGAACTGGTCAGAAACAAGGCGGAATTCTGTATTATTTTCTGATGAAAGTACATTTATTTTCATCGGATGGCATTTTATGGGTAAGACGTCCTAAAAACAAGCGATTTGATCCTAAGTTCACTTTGGGCACAATCAAACACGGAGGCGGGAAGGTTCAAGTATGGGGTTGCTTCTGTGGTCTTCAAATGGGACCCATCGTCAAAACTGAAGTAATTATGGATCGGTACAAATACTTGGAAATATTAACTGATACCATGCTACCTTACGCAGAAGAAAACATGCCTCTACGCTGGCGGTTCCAGCACGACAACGACCCCAAGCACACAGCGAAAATAATAAAAACATTTTTTGCAGATCACAATATTAATGTCATTAAGTGGCCAGCTCAGAGTCCAGACTTTAACCCCATAGATTTAGTTGATAAAACAATTCGTTCTGAACATCCAGAAAAGTTCAAAAATAGTGCCGAACTATTTGAAACAATCGAAGTCGCCTGGAATTCTATTCCAAAAGAAATAATAGATAGCTTAATTGGTTCAATGAGAAAAAGATGTCTAGCAGTTATCAAAAATAAAGGTTTTGCAACCAAGTATTAGCTTCTTTGTATACGACAATTGCTTTGTATATTACGTTTCTCTATTTTTGCTCGCTGCATTTTCTAATAATAATTGTTAGCATAGTTTTATTAAAGCAGAACTTTTATTTTCATGTTGGCTTTGAGTTACATGTTACATTAAGTTATAATAAAACATAAGTGTTTAGTTTACTTTAATAGTTTAATAAAATCTTTAAAAAAATAAAATGTTTCTTCACTTTTGCTCAGTACTGTATAACTCATTGTAAGCTGATAAATTTAAACCATAAGTTGGCACATTCTAATTGTTTGCATCTATCTAATTATATTATCCTGTTAGTGCCTCATTTATTTATGTACCTTATATCGTTAGTATCTTTCGAACATTTCTTGTTTTATTCAGTTTTTGTCGAAAACAAATGTCTTTTAAAGGTTTTAACTATATGCTTGCTATTTCTTGCCTTTTATTGTAATTACACTGAAAGTTACCACCAGACATATTGTATTGCAAAAGGGTTAAGATGGCTTAACTTCGCACCTATTATTATCATCATTCTCATTATTATTAATAATAATTTCGTTTTTCGAATAAAATGTTCTTGTATTCATCAAAACAATTATTCGATTTATTATTCCTTTCTGCATAATATGTACTGTGCTCGTACATAATGTGTTATGCAGTAAGTGTAAAATGATACCGAATATACTTCATGTCAATGCACTTTCGCTATATGATTTCTGTCTCTGGGAAAAGTATGTTGATCTCTTAAGTAACCCTATACCTTTGGTAACATTCTCAGTATACGATAACATTATCGTTACACTTGTGTATAAAGCCTTGTGTGGAATCTACTTAGGGATATCTCTATCTAAAAGACTAATCAGCATAGGAAACGTATTTTTCTTTCCGCGCTTATAGACGACAAAATTATGTATCTTAGCGAAGCTGTAACTCAGGATAACTATACTAAGTGACATATAAATCCGATCACCCAGTTTAAATGGTTTTATTTTAATAAAATTTTGTATAAGTACTTAATGAAGCATAATAAGTAAATGATAAAAATTTCAAAATTATTGCACTGCTTTAAAGCCCTTTGACCTTTAATAATGTGTGGATGCACCCTGATGTGCTACGCATTCTCCAACGCGCCTAGGCATGCTTCTGATCAGGTGGTCAATGTCCTCGTGTGGTATCTCATTCCAGGCAACCACCAATTCCTCTCGAAGTGCTTCTAGAGTCTGAGGAGGACGTTGCAAATTGAGCAATCTCCTACCCATCATATCCCACACGTGCTCAATTGGGGATAAGTCGGGAGATCTTGGTGGCCATGGTAACAATGTGACATGATTATGTTGAAAGAAGTCTATTGTGACTCTTGCAACATGTGGTCGGGCATTATCTTGTTGGAAAGTTGGATCTGCCAGGGTGTCAAGATAGGGTAAAAGATGGGGTTCTAGAACTTCGTGGATATAGCGCTGCGCGTTCATGTTACCTCTGATGAAGATTAAAGGTGACCTGGAACCATAAGCTATAGCACCCCAAACCATAACTCCAACAGTGTGATGAACATGTCTTTCAACAAAAAACTGTGGATTCCTCCTTTCACCACGTCGCCTTCTAACCCTGGCACGACCATCGTGCATGCCTAAACAAAATCGAGACTCGTCACTAAAGACAATACTGTTCCATTCCTGATCCCAGAGTGACCGTTGTCTGCAACCACTCAAGGCGATTACATCGGTGTTCTCGAGTTAAAGGGAGGACCCAGTGTGGCCGGTATGAAAACAAGCCAAAACTTCTCATTCGTCGGTAAACACTTCGCATGCCAATAGGTCTTCCGTGTTCTGCAAACCATTCATTTGCAATGGACCTGGTAGTGGAGAAACGGTCCCTTAAGGCCAATAATCTTAGGCGGCGATCTTCACGGTCTGTTGTTCTACGGCGGCGTCCAGTGCCCCTTGCTCTTTGCGTGCGGCCTTCTCGAAGCCATGCCTGACAACACCTAACCACAGTGTCTACACTTCTTTGCACTCTAACTGCAATTGCCCGAAAAGAAAGTCCAGCTTCCCGAAGTCCCACTATACGGCCCCTATCAAACTCACTGAGTTGACGAAATCGTACAGGTCTCCGTACTCTAGGCATCGTAACCGATCGTAAAGGATGTCAAGAACCAAAATCCGCCAACGTTGATTCTTTACTGCGGCTGAAATATTCATTTTTAGAGCGTTAGTGAATTAAAAAAACAGTATAAAAACTGGAATGTCCAACTGATAAGGCTGAAAATTTTTTCACTTGTTATTTACAGTAAGATAAATGCATTCACCAACTTTATTAAAATAAAACCATTTAAACTGGGTGTTCGGATTTATATGTCACTTAGTATATGTGTTCAAAAATATAGTTTTTTAATATCAAACACCCAAAATTTAGTTCAGGACCACCTCAAATATACAGGTTGTCTGCGAAAGGTTGGGAATTCTCGAAACTGCAGATACTACAGACCAAAGTATGTGAACCATTTGCTTCGAACGCAGTTTTCAGGTGTTCAAGTTCTGTCTGGAGGTTCTCCGGTTCGCAAATCCTTCGAGTTCGTTCTGTCAGAGTTCTGATGCCTCCATACTTGGATGATTGGACAAAGCGTGCAGGTATCTGTCTGTGTGACCCAGCTTGTTACTTCGCTTCCTGACTAGTACGTCCAAGAACGCCAGTTGTTGGTCACTCTCTATCTCCATGGTAAATTGTATGCTTGGATGCCGATCGTTGAGGTACTGCAGAAACTCGTTTAGCCTGTCCGTGCCATGTTTCCAAATCACGAAGGCGTCGTCCACGTACCGGAACCAAATTGCTGGTTTGTTCTCCGATGTCTCAACCGCCTTCTTCTCAAAGTGTTCCATAAGAAGGTGGGCTAAGTGGACTTCCCATTGCCACTCCGTCTGTCTGCTCACAAAAGCCCCCGTCCCATACCAAGTAGCTTCCAGTGAGGCAAATTTCAAAGAGCTTGCAGATGTCAGAAGGAAAGATCCTGCTCACCAGATCTAGGCATTCCCTCAGCGGTACCTTGGTGAAAAGGGAGACGACATCGAAGCTCACAAGGATGTCGCCGGGTTCAACGACGATGTCCTGAATCTTGCGCACAAAGTCGGTGGAATCCTTGATGTAGCTGGTACTTTTTCCCACGTATGGTTGCAGCAGGGATGCCAAGTGTTTCGCTAAGAAGTACGTCGGCGATCCGGTCTCAACGGAACATCTGCTTTGTGGATCTTGGGCAGGCCGTAGAGCCTCGGTGGAACCGCTTCCGTCCTCGTAACGCTCTTCTTTTTGTCTTCTGGCAGTGATCATAGCTTGGTAAGGTTGTAGTCGGGTTTGCGTTTGATCTTTCTTCAGGGGTTTGTAACTTTCTGGGTCTAGTTCAATAATCTTCCTTTTGTAGTCCTCGGTCTTCAGAAGAACGGTTGCATTGCCTTTGTCGGATGGGAGTATGATGATATCCTCGTTGTTATTCAAGTTCCGTAGTACCGGACCAGGTTGCTTTTTGGTGGATTCGACCTTCTAAGAATATTGGCTGTCTCTATTCGTATCTCCTCGGCGGCCTCGTCCGGTAGATGTCTAATGGCTGCCTCCGTACTGGAGATAATGTCTTCAACCGGAATGTGGCGGGGCGTGATTGCAAAATTACCTCCTTTGGATAATACTGATTTTTCATCCTCAGCAAGTACCCTATCCGTTAGATTCACCACGAGTCGCTCATGGTCAATGCTTGCTGGCTGGGGTGATTGCCGTCTCTGAAACTTCTCGTATTTTCTAATCTGCTGCTCCTTGAAGCGGTCCAGTTGGTTTCTCATGTTGGAATGCGATATTGCGTCCATTTTGTCCCAATCCTGTCGTTCGATCCTGTTGCTCAAAGTCAAGTGCAGGAAAAGGAGTTATTCGTCCGTCCTCGCTAGGCTATGTCGAGTATAGTGGATCCGTTCTCTAAGAAAGGCTTTCTCAGTCCTGGCGTAGATCCTCTTAGCTTGCGCTGATTGGAGAATTCGTTTCTGTCTAAGGAAAGCTGGAACGATGTTGGTGACCCGGCAGCGGCTCGGAAAAGCCAAGATGGCGAGTAAGTGTGCCTTCTGTTTTCTGAATTTATCCAGTTGTTGATACTGGTTACATGTCTCCTCCCCGTAGAGGCGTCTGACAAATTGGTTAAGGCTTTCACGGCCAGTTGATAAACTGCTGTCTTGATTCGGATCTAAAGGCCGTCGTCGGTTGGAATTTCTTCCTAACGTTTCGCTAATACGAGTGGCAAGCTTCTTCAGAGGTCCTTCCATTTCCGATGCTGGATGTAGACTGACGATTTCACACACACACACCCTCCTACCCTGTGCGGTCCCTCCACCATCCCTGTTCCAGGCAACCTCCGTCTGTCTGCTCATAAAAGCCCCCGTCCCATACGAAGTAGCTTCCAGTGGGACAGATTGCAAAGAGCTTGCAGATGTCAGAAGGGAAGATCTGGCATTCCCTCAGCGGCACCCTGGTGAAAAGGGAGACGACATCGAAGCTCACAAGGATGTCGTCAGGTTCACCTACGATGTGGTCCTCCACCACCCCTGTTCCAGAAAACCTGCAGCAATCTGCTCCTCCCTCCTCTCCCGCCCGAAGGCCTGGCATGGCGCTGCGTGGTTCAGGCCGCTGCGCATTCCCCGAGTGTGTGCTGCCGAGCGAGCTGCCCCCTCCCCGATTTTGCCTCTTTTTCCCGAAATTGACTCGATCGCGCACGCGTCGCGGAAGCACGTGGTGGACGTTTCATCCAACTGTCGGTTCTCGACTTTTATGGACGGCCTCTTTCTTGGGGGTCCTGCGCTGGGAGCTTTGACCTAAGCCCCGCATTAAGGTTGGTGAGCCTTCGCTCTTTTCTCGTTGACTGGAGTCGTCAGTCATTTGCTGTTTGTCTTCGTCTCCTGAGGTTAGCCTCGAGTCCGTGCTTGACACCTCAATCGACAGGCTTCTTTTTGTCCACCCGTTGTACACGGGCTGTTCTTTCCCCTTTTGGGTGTACAACTATTGTCGGTCTTCTCCCCTTTTCTTTGGCCTCATCAGCTGCTAGGGCCAAATTTCTTCTGGCTTTTCGGTCTTTTATGACGCCTTATCGTTCTTGGGTCGTAATCCAAGGCGTCTTTTCGATGTCTTTCGCTCTTTTCAAGGAACTTTCGGACCCTCTCTCTCATCTGGATTACAACCGGTACCTGTCGTAGTTCGTCATATAGCACTCTGTTAGGTACATACCACGGTGCGTCCACCGCCTCACGGAGTGCTCCATGTTTTGTTGAGCTTGGAGCCTCTTCTTCAACGTTTTGGAAACGTAGCCCCAAGCTACTGCTGCGTAAGTCATGATTTGGAGCAGCACCATCTGAATCATGACGGTCTTATTCTTTAAGGACACTTTGCTTCTTCTGCCTAATAAAGGTCTTAGTTTGGAGCGTGCCATCTTCCCTTTCTGCACCTGGCCCTCGACATGGTTCTTCCAAATGAGTTTTTGGTCCATCTTGACTCCAAGGTACGTGCTGGAGTCCTTCCAATCGACCTCAATCTCTTCGTCTCTTGTCCAGCCTCTCTCCATCCTGGTGGTCGTCATCTTTATTTTGGTTTGAGGCAATCTTCGATTTCTTCGGAACAGTACCGCTTCGGTCTTCTCAGGGTTGAGCCGGATCTTCCACTTGATCCGCCATTCCTCTAGGTTGGTAGTCGCTCGTTGCAGATATTCCGTAACCATGCGGGGTCTCGTACTTTCTGCCGCATATGCTGTATCGTCCGCATACACATACAGTTGCGTTTGTGGAGTCTTCGGGATGTCTGAACTGTAGATTGCACACAGCAGGGGTGATAGAACCGCTCCCTGCGGTACTCCTGCCTCCACAGTCCTCGTCGTCGAAGATGTTTTACCAATCCTAATTCGGAATTTACGGTGCTTCAAATAGGACTTCACCAGTTGGATCATCCCCGTTGAGTAGCCGAGGTCTTATAGATCAGTCCGTCATGCCAAACAGTGTCGAACGCCTTAGCGGCATACATGAACACAGCTTCCACGGCCTGCCGAGTCTGGAACGATTTCGTTGCCATGTCGACCAGCCTTAGGACCTGGTGCTCTGCCGAATGTTCGCTTCGGAATCCGAACTGTTCGTCTGGAGTTCTTCAGTTTCGTTCCTCAGTCTTCGTTCGATTACCCTTTCCGCAATCTTGCTCAGTGCCGTCCGTCAACAGGCTTATGGGTCTGTAGTTTTGGGGGAACCTTGGGTCTTTCCCAGGTTACTGACGATTTCTCTTGCGCAGGGTAGGTGACGTGGCTTGTTCCGCTTCGGTTGACTTCAGGATGTCGATCGGCACTGCTCAGGCCTTTCTGAGGATCGGGTGCCAGATCGAGTTGAGTCTGAGGGTCTCTTCCTTCCTGTTGAAGTTATCCGGATGTTTGTGAATCTCGATAGCTTCCCAGACCAGTCTATTGTGATAGCCGTTGTCTGATGATATTATTATTATTATTATTCAGCTGCGGGGTCGCCCAACGCATTATTAATTTTTTTCTTATTACTGGTCAAAATTTCGTGAGAATGTTATCGTTTCATTCCTGATGTAAGACTACCTCATTGCCAAAAAAGTTGAACAAATTATTTTTTCTTATGTCACTGAGTATACTCACGTTAACAGGCGGCGCAAATGCGTGGGAAGTAAAGGTGCTGCACACACGCATTACAACTTCCAAATTGTAATTTCCTGTATGATTTAAAACCCATTTGCACTAATTTCGGTTTCAGTGTCATTACAGACCTAGACCTCTAAACCCACAAATGCAACGTCGTTTTCCGATATATGCCGCACGCCAATTACTATAAAGACTCGAATCAGTATGGTCACGCGATCTGCTAATACGCTTCCACTCGACTTTATTAATGTATTCGGCCATATAATTAATTTACGTGAATATTTAGATTGTTCTTCGCGATTCTAACCTGTTGCTCGTTCGCGATGTGGATATCAATCTGCTAATTGAGCTGTCGGAACGCGAATATCTTATTCTTAATAAGGATCGGTTACAGCGTCGAGTAGGTGGACTTCGCTTTTTACACGCGTGTGGTCGTGGTAGCTGAAAAATGGCGTCGAGTAGATTGACTCTTCAATACTTTCGCCACGTTGTCATTGGTTTATGTATAATTCCTCTTGAAAGAATATACAGGGTGTTCCTTAATGATATGCGAATATTTAAGGGTGTGGATCTACATGAAAAGTTTTAGGAAAAAAATGGAAATTAATCAATATTTTCAGAACCGCTTCAGATATTTCACTGATATTTAATACGTAGTGAAAGTTAATAAAGTTTAACAGTGGCACGCGTACGGGTATTGACTTCAATATTTTATAAGAAATGGTTGTTTGGCAAATAAAAATTATTTTTGAATTCCCCATTCAATTTAAAACAAATGATCTTTCTTGAATTGTTTTCCTTCGATGCGCCATTTTTGAAAAAAAAAATAAAAACCCTTCTATTGTCTAACTTGCAAAATTATTATTAATTTAATTGAAAAATAAAAAACATTAGGGGTAATGAACAACAACAACTGACAACATAAATATTACATTAAAACCAACGAAATGATTACAAAAATTGTTGAAAATGGCCCCCTTCACTTAGTAAGCATATGCTTCCGCCCCCCTTCTCATGGAATTGCCCACTCGTTGAAATATCCCTGGAGTGTTTTTTATTCTATCACAAGCTGCAACCATTCTTTCTCTTAATTCCTATACAGTGTTAATGGGACTTGTGTACACTAATGTCTTAAGATAGGCCCACAAAAAGAAATCTAAACTGTTGAGGTCTGGGGACCTTGGTGGCCATTCTTGGGGCCCACCGCGGCTAATCCAACGATTTGGATAAAAAGTTTGTAAATAATTACGAACCGCTTCACTGAAATGTGCTGGTGCACCATCATGCATGTACCACATATTGTTTCTTATTACCAGCGGAACATGATCAAGCAGCAAAAGCAACTGTTGTTGAAGAAAATTGAGGTAAGTTTGTCCCTCAAGTCGTCCCGGCAAGAAAAATGCCAATATAGTCATTGCCAATAATTCCTGCCCATACGTTAACCGAAAATTGGTGTTGGAAGTGGGTTTCGGTTACGGCACAGGGATTTTCATCTGCCCACAAATGATTAAAAAAATTAGCTTCGTCCGTGAACAGAATTATTGATTCAAATTGCGGATTTTGTGTAATTTTTTGAAGATACCACTCACAAAAGGTCACACGCCTTGCAAAATCAATGGGAAGCAATGCATGTACTCTTAAAATATGGTAAGGATATAACAAAAAATCCACAAAAATTCTCCAAACAAATTGATGGTAAATATTTAAGTGTCTAGCGGTCTTCCTCGTACTCGTTTCAAGATGTTCTTCGACTTCGTGCAGCACTGCTTCCTCAATTTCAGGTGTTCTCACACTTAGAGGTCTACCTTCAGATGTACCTTTTCGGACAGAACCAGTTTCAACAAGACGACGATGAATATTAGAAAAGGTTCGACTATCTGGCAAAGCACGATCGGGATATATTTATTATTCCTGCCTAAAAGTTGGAGTATGTTTTGTCATCAATTTTATATTTGAAATAGGGTAAACTCGGTAGTGATGGCGCAGCGGGTTAGATGGCGAACTGCAGTATTTTCCTAAACGAACTAGGAGCCGACAACGTCGCCATTAGTGTCGATCTTCATTTGTGAGTAAACAGATTTACCGTTCATCTCGTGCTTTTATTTGGAGTTAAAGTAATTAAATGTTCCATTATACAGGGTGGTGCATCGAAAACGAAACAGACACCTTTACTGGCAGCTCAGCAGCAAGCAGCAAAAAATCACGTTAGCACGTGCAGCCCCCTAAGCGGGGGTGACACCACCCCTAAAATCTTAAATGGAAAGGGGGGTCTAGTGATACCTTATTTTAAAGGTCTTTCAATTCCCTTTATAATGATGTAAAATACATGAGCTTCAGATCAGTAGTTTTCAAGATTTATTGATTTAAAGCTTAAAGTAGACTTTGATAGGTTCATCAGATTAGTTTGTACTACTTTCAGAAGAAATTTGACTAAAAGAATTTACTTAATAAGTAAATGCTTTTCTTCACTACGCCCATGGTTTGTTTATCATTTTGTTGTCAAAATTGGCTATTGGAAGATAAGGAAATATCTCGTGCTTATTTTAAATAGGAATTTAGTACATGGTTTGCGATTGATTTGACCAAACTTTGTTGCTAAAATAACTTGTAACGCTTTATTACATAAATTAACCATGGTATATTCCACAGCAGAAAGAGTTGAAATTATCGAAATATTTTTCGGAAATAATCAGTGCGCTATTAGAACAGCAGAAATATTTAATGAACGACATGAGAACAGTAACGTGCATCGAAAACATGTTCTAGAACTAGAATCTAAGGTTCCATAATGGTACTGATGAACGGCAAGTAAATGAATGAATGTTTGGAAACGAGCGATATATTTTGGTAGAGCCTGTCATCAAGTAGGTGCTTAATGTCTATCTGCAAGAGGTTTATAGGAAAAAACACCCAGTATCACATATCGGTTGAAGAAAATAATATAAACATGAATAAAAAATCAACAATAGTAATTAAAACATGAATTTAATTCAAAAATCAAACATTTCTTAAAAATTTGACTGAATTATATGTAATTTCTTAATATTCAATAAGCTGGTGATGTTTCAATGACAAGTTGTCATCTCATACTTTGACAGTATTTTGTTTTCAACATTTCATAGCAATTGGTTGCTAAAATGTGTTGATTGGAACTTGAAGCTCATTCGCTGTATCTGACGGTCTGTTACCCTATAGGTTGAGAATAACGGACTGTTGTTGGTGAAATTTTCCCTTAGTCCATTTTATGTCCCTCCTTCTCCTATATCCTCGAAGACTCCACTAGTGATGAATCCTTAGGCCTTCATGATGGTTCAAGTATAAAAAAGACAAGAATAACAAATATTAAACTGAAATCACAAAATACGGAATGACGCTACTTGTAGTTTTCAATGTTTACATGCAGCTCACCTTGCGCCCATCTTATTTGTATTCCAGTTTGTACAATTCCTAAAAATAACGTTCTATATTGTTAACTAGTGATGATAGCTTATTCAACTCATTAAAACTTTGTGCACGTTGAGAAAATGATCGTAATTGAAAGAAAATATTGTGTAGGTTGAATTTCATAACCAACCAAAATATTTGCACATAAAAAGTCTAGAACAATAACGGCGACAGTAATAAAGATAAAAAAATTATACCATAAACGAAAAGCACGTACACACCTGTATGCCGCGCTGGTAGTAATACTAGTATATGGATTGAAGAAAAGGTATCGGATGCTTAAATAAGTATGACTGCATACTATATATATTATAGACTATTCCAGAAAACGTGTAACGTTTAATAAAGATAAATACTCTGTCGCAATGAGGTCAGGATTGGATTGCTACCAGCCACTTATGGTGGTTAGAGACAGACACCAAACTATTTGACAGCATGTCACAATGCCAACGTAGATGTTCCTCATGGAATGGTTTTGGCTAAAATATTGTTTCTGTCACACATTGACGACCGACCACATTCCCGAAGCGATAAATTGGATCCACATCTTTAGACGCAGGCATAAAAAGTTCCCGATGAACTAGCCAACAAGAACAATAGGAAGTTTTCACATGGTTTCATGAAAATTCGGTCAATAGTTACATACTTATTCTGCACTGCGGAATATATAGCTGAAAGTATATAGATTCTCGTGTCCAAATTGGTATCATTTATGACTGCTCAATTGCCTTTGGCCGAGTAGGTCTCCTTGACAAATTAGCTAGCTTTGATGTAATTGGTCATCTCCTTTCGAGGAGGGAGAATCACATTTGTAATGCTCAACGGTATCAGATCTGTTATACGGTTACGTCTGGTGTCCCTCAAGGGTCTGTACTGGGGCTCTTATTTTTCATTATGTTCATAAATGATGTACACGTTCTATTGTATGTCCAGTTTCTCCTATATTCTGACGATGTCAAACTTTTTTGTCCCATGCAGTCACTAGGTGAAAAGTAATATCAACATGCTTGACAGCTGGTATCGCAAATATAGCATGCCATCAAACGCAGCGAAGTGTAATGTGGTCAGTTATACCAACAAAACTCAAGCAATCGTATCGCAATTGCTTAGGTGAAATAGTGAGTTTTGCTTCAATGGTCATATGGAGACAATTCACTGGACAACAAATTTTGGTTTTTTAATTGTATCTTGTGGGAAAAGTGCACTTCTGTGTTAATTCTGGGGCGCTGAATCCAAAAATGACAATGAAATAAAAAAAATAGTTGCGGTTTAGAAAAAACTTTTTATTTTAAGGATATATTAAAAAAAGTAACAAGATTCATATACTTATAAGAATCACTATATGCGCTGTCTTTTTGCTGTTCTTTTATGGATCGTTTCTGGAGCATCTCTACCAAGAGTCCAACAGTAGTCTGCAAGCATGGAAGGATTCCACTTTCCCTGGTACCTTTTTTCCATTGTTGAAATATCCTGATGAAAACGTTCGCCGTGCTCATCACTTACGGCTCCGCAATTGTCAGGAAAAAAGTCCAGGTGTGAGTGTAGGAAATGTATCTTAAGAGACATATTACAGCCCATCTTTTGATACGATGACAGCATATTTTTAACAAGGGTTTTATAGTTGTCAGCTTTCTATTTCCCAAGAAATTAGTGACCACCAGACGGAAATCATTCCAAGCAGTTTTTTCAATACCTGTTAAAGTGTTTTCAAACTGTGTATCTTTCAAAATATTTCGAATCTGTGGCCCAAAAAAAATACCTTCTTTAACCTTTGCCTCACTTAGTCTTGGAAATTTCTGACGCAGGTATTGAAAAGCTGACCCATCTCTATCTAATGCCTTGACAAAGTTTTTCATTAGGCCCAACTTGATATGCAGTGGTGGTAATAAAATTTTTTTCGAATCTACTAATGGCATATGCTGTACATTTTTTTGACCTGGCTCTAGGAATTGACGAACAGACCAGTTTTGTGTGGTGTAATGAAGTGCCTTTGCCCGACTGTCCCATTCACACAAAAAACAGCAAAACTTTGTGTAGCCTAGCTGCAGCCCAAGTAAAAGTGCAACAACTTTCAAATCGCCACAAATATGCCATTGGTGCTCATCGTATTTTATGCATGTCAATAGGTACTTCATATTGTCATATGATTCTTTCATTTGAACTGCATACCCTACAGGAAGAGATGGTAAAATATTTCCGATATGCAATAACACTGCCTTTAAACTCAATGTTGAACTGTCTATAAACAGTCTCCATTCTTCTGGGTTATAGTTTATATTTAAAGCCACCAGTAAGCCGTTAATGTTACTGCAGAAAACCAAGTTATTCTCCATTTTAAAAAATGGCGTTTACGAAAAACACATACCGAAACATCGTCTTCTAACCAGTTCCACTGCTGCAGTCTTGATCCAAGTAACTCTGCCTTACATTTTGGAAGTTCTAAATCTCTTACAAGATCATTTAATTCTAACTGTGCGGTTGGTGGCATGACGTGCTCGGTATAAAATCAGGATCTCTTGACGTTGATGGCATATCTTCTTCCTGACGAATCACTCGATCGCCATGATCTGATTCGTTTTCTGATTCGCAAGTGTAGGATTCTGGGGGTTTTGGAATAGGATTTTCGTCACTGTGAGGCACAGGTCTCATCGCAGATGGTATGTTTGGGTAGTTAATAACCGATTTTTTTTTTTTGGACATACCTGTGGCTTGTCTAACACAAGGTACCATGCAAAAGTAACAATCATTAATATGATTTGTAGGCTCTCTCCAAACCATTGGGACAGCAAAGAGCATAGTCCGTTTTTTGCCATTTAACCAGCTCCTCAGACTTGAAGCACATGTATTACAGCAGATGTGGGATGCCCACTGTTTGTCTTAATCACCTAGTTTACAACCGAAATAAAGCTGATATGCCTTTGTTATTAGTGGAGTAATAGAGCGTCTCTGAGACGCAAAAGTCACATCACCACACACGAAACAAAACTGATCTGGATTGTTTACACATTTTCGAGACATCTTGCATGAACGCTGTCAGCCAATTGAGGAAAAAATGGCTAATATAAAACAATATAATGTACACGTATGTATAACGTAACACAATCATGCCGATTACATCATCTTTCCTTGCCGAATATAAAAATGTAGCGCGTGCATTCTTGTGGATTACAGTATATTAACACTGTCACAGCAGGAACACATATAATTACCGTATCTCTAAAACTTGAACTAATATTGAAAAAATAAGTTACATTCCGGTTTTAGTACATTAAAAATAGTAATATTTTGTTGATTTTATTTAGGATACTTTTTGGCTGTTGATCAGTGTTATTACAGAGAGTTGCAAGAAATTAGGCTTTATTATACGATGTGGTTGTGAATTGCAAGATATTAACACAATTGAGCTTTTATCGCTTGTCGATTTTTTCGTTCAAAACTTGAATATGCAGCAAATGTTTCGTTTTTGATAGATAAAATTGAAAATATCCAGCGGTGATTTCTAAGAAAATGGCAGTTATCCGGAAATTTTCTACCCCCAAAAACTTTAGAAGAAGCCTTTGATATAAAAAGCTTCAGAGAAACGCGTGATGAGTGCACTTTGTGTGTGATATATTATTGCACAGCCTTATTGATTGTTGCAATGTGATACTTTGCCTACCCCTATAACAAACATCAAGTTTTCTATTAGTTATCTACACTACGATATTTGTAAATATCATCCATGTGTCTGAACTACCTACTCTTATTTGTAATATGAAATAATTGTGTATTATTTAAGTTCGGTCGGTGACCTTCTCTGTAAATGCCTGTTGCTGTTGAGTAATGTTTAAATCAATAAATAATAAATGAATATTTTTTCCAGAATATACACGTTTTGTTTTAAACAACTAAAATGGAAAACATATACCATTCCAAGTGCAACGCCGTAAAGAAAAGATTTTGAGCGTTTGCGGATACATATTTGATATGACATTGAACTCATTGAAATGACCTTGAACAATCAAACCCAAAGATAGCAGCATATCTTTAAAGAACTTTCTATGTACTTATTATATACAGGGGTAAAGTTAGTAGTGGATCAACGCAAGTCAGAATCGCCATAAAGAGTGGCTAAACACAATAGGTTCTGTACTTGTAGGTGGTAAGGATTCAATAGCTTTTACAATAAAATGAATAATGGAATACAACCTCAATTTTTTTAACACCCTTCAAAGTTGAGGGATGGAAGAGATTTTTCACTAAAAAATGAATTTAAGATTTTTGCGTTGATTTCTAATAAGCTCTGTTAAAAAGTGACATAACCATTGCTAAAGATAACCATTTAGCTCATTTCAGAAAGAAAACACAGTCCCAAACCTAACGGTTTAGTTTTAATCGCGACTGAATGTTCATTATACCGTTTTTTTCTCGAAATTTCACAAAATTGCAAATATCACCTGAACTATAAAATTTCGCTCAACACATATAGGTATCGAGCCCCTCTATCACCTGCCCTCCGTTGATCCACTACTAACTACACCCTGTATATGCACACTTTTACAAAATATCGAAGTTTGTTCAATATCTTGAACATCGTTATTTATTATACATTTGAATGGAGCGGCTTTTATTTAGACCGTCAATATTTTTTACAAATCATCAGGCAGCAGCGGTGCCCGCAGTAGTAGACTCTTCTCTCCTGATCAGTCGCCGTGCGCTGTGCGGGTTCGAGTCCCGTCCTAGGAGAAATTTTCCTCTTGGCTATGGATGTTGTGATTGTCCGTAGGTGGTAGACGGTCTCTGACTGTCGAACGTGGAGGTCCACCCGGCGGATCTCGTAGGCGGAGCCAGATTGTGTGCATGTTGCATGCACACGTGTTCCCTCGCCAGAGTTCGTGTGGCGTTCCCCCTTTCCCCTGTATCCCCCTATAGCCCCACGGTACCCAATGGGTGTTTAGGCCTTCATGGTGGTTGGAATATAAAAAAAAAGGACATTGTTCTTGGCGGGACTACAAAATAGAATTTGAAATAGCGGATGTACATAATATCCAGGGTGTTCCTTAATGATATGCGAATATTTAAGGGTGTGAATCTGCATCAAAAATTAATGTTAGTTTGCTTTGTAAACTATTGTCCAAAAATGTATCCTTACAAAAACTTGGGGTGTTGAAGTTTTAGGAAAAAAATGGAAATTAATTAATATTTTCAGAACCGCTTCAGATATTTCACTGATATTTAGTACGTAGTGAAGGTTAATAAAGTTGCATATTTTTCAATGCAAAAATAATTTTTTGCTTCAACAGTGGTGTGCGTATGGATTTTGACTTCGATATTTTTTAAGAAAAAAATGGTACGCCAATGGTTTTTTACCAATATACCCGTTGAATGTAAAACAAATGATCTTTCTTAAATTGTTGTCCTTCGATGCGCCATTTTTGAGTAAAATATGCAACTTTATTAACTTTCACTACGTACTAAATATCAGTG